CCTCTCCCCAAAGCTTCCAGGAAACCCCACAGCACAGGCCTCTGCCCCTGCAGGTCTCACAGCCCAGAGCAACCTCTCCGGACCAGCCTGGCCTCATGGGCACCCACTGGGCCCAGAGCTCTCAGCTCACTCACCACAAAATCTTGTCTGCACCCCTCGGGATGGGCTGGGTTCCCTGGGCACCACCCTGACCCTGGGCCTGTTACTATGTATGGATGTGAATGGCAACCCCCTCCTTCCTGTCCTAAATTAACACCCCTAAGGGCAGCCTTTGTGTGGGTGTTCAGCATTGAACCCCAGCCTTCAAGAGTCCAGCATAAAAGAGGCTTTAAATACAAATGAAGAAATTCAGTTGGTTTTTGATTTGGGAGACCACAGAGCCCTCTGAGACACCTGGAAAAATGGATCCACCTGCCAGAAAAGAAAATACACAGAATCCCTACACGCACTCTGGGCCACACAGACGCACTGAGGTCCATCTGGGGGCCCCAGGACATCTGCCAGGGGTCAGGAAGCCTTGTCTGAAAAAGGCCACCAACCCTGCTGACCTGCCTTCTCCCTTGAAAAGTAAAATGAACATAAATTTCAAGCTAGGCTAGGTGAGGAGGAAGAAGCTATTGGCACTAGAGGGTTAGTTTGGGGGTGGGGCTGCTGCTGTCCTCTCACCAGGACCTTTCTCGATAGCCCCCTGCTCCCCTTGGGTGCTTCCTGGGACCAACCGCAGGCCCCAGAGCTGATAAGCAGATAATAGCTTCCCACATAGTGGCAGGGCAGGTTTGCACCTCAGACCTTTTTCTGCCTTGTGATCAACCTGGAGCCAAGAAGGCTGCAACTCCTCCTGAGCCGGCCCCCAGACGGCTGTGTCCCAGCTCCTTAGCAGGATGAGAGAAGCACTCTGAGGAGGCCGGGAGCACTAACTTGCCTGTAATCTCAGTACTTTGGGAGGCAAAAGTGGGAGGATAGCTTGAGCCTAAGAGCTCCAGACCAGCCTAGGCTATAGAGGGAGGCCCCGTCTCTACAAAAAATAGCCAGCTGTGGTGGCATCCATCTATAGTCCCAACCACTCGGGAGGCTCAGGGCGGAGGATTGCTCCAGCCCAGGAGGTCAAGACTGCAGTAAGCCATGCTCACACCACTGCCCTCCAGCCTGGGCAACGACGCAAGACCCTGTCTCTAAAAAAAAAAAAAGAAAAGAAAGAAAGAGAAAGAAAATCACTTTGCCAACAAAGATGTATTCTTTCCTATCACTGCTTTAACAAATTACCAAACAAATTATCAAAACAATACAAACGGATGATAGCTCTGTGGCTCTGAAGTCCAACACCAGTCTCAGCAGGTAAATGCAAGTGTGGGCAAGATGGGTTCCTTCTGGGGGCTCTAGGGGAGGATCCCTTCCTTGCCTTGTGCAGCTTCTCCAGGCCACCCACATCACAGGGCTGGTGGCCCCGCTCATCTCCACCCCTCTGTCCTCTGTGCTCACATGGCTCCAACCACAGCTCGCAAAGGCTCTCTCCTATAAGGACTGATAAGGCCACCCTGCTACACAGAGCCCGCGTATTGGAAGGCCAGCTGATTAGCACCTGTGATTC